AATAAAAACATTCTTAATATTTAGAAAATGTCAGCTTTTTTTTCATTATGTAAATTTCTAAAATTTAATGTTACCTTCTCTTTCAAGAAAAATAAAAAATGAAATTTTTCTCTGCATAAATTTGTTGATGAAACTGGAAAAAAAAATCAATAAGGAAGTAAAATACTGAATAAAATCTGTAAGATTAAATATACTGCTTGGTATTGCAGAAAACAGATATAACAAATATTCCTTTATAAAGTTTAAGAAAATAAATTATTATACGTTAAACTTCAATCAAATTCTGACTCATTGTTAGATTCAATACATCATCCATTTCTTGTGAATTTGAATACTTATGCTTTAAATTCTTTCATAAAATTTTATTATATTGTATATATAATATTAAAGCAATATACCCATTTAGGAGCATGTTTTTCCTACAATGCAATCCATTTTATAATTTGAAAGTTGATTCGCTGTGTTGTGTTAGACATTTTAAGTCAACCATTCTTCTATGCTTAGAAAATTGCTGCCACATATGGTCCAGTGCTCCTATTTATCTGGAGCTCCTTGATAAAATTTAAAAGAAGAATCAGCAATATTACTGGCCCTAATCTAGCATCTCGGCTTCAGTTACTTTCTCACTGCTGTAAAGTTGCCTCCCTTTGACTTTTCTCTAAATACTTTCATGGTAATTGTTTGGATGAACTCCTTGCTAAGTGCCTAGACTCTTTGAATTTAAGTGTTGTACTAGACTGGTGACTCATGACTTCACATTCGAATTGGCTATAGATGTAACTGTAAATTCTATGCTAACAGTTTCTTTTCACACACTTCTCATTTGTAGCTCCATGCTTTCCAGCCAACTTTAAAAATTTAAATGCAATGTCAATCGCTATATTACTCTCCTCCTGATTACTCTTATTTTGTTTTCACTCCTTAGCAATGTTTCTGTTTCTAATTCATCCACACCCAGTAACCCCTTGTGTCTCAGAGGTTTTGCTGCCTTGCATGGGGTGAAAAAAATTAATGTAATGTACATGAAGGAAAGAATAGGTGTAGATAGGTTTGTATCCGGTTCACACTTCTCCCTGGTCTTTTGAACAGGAGTAGAGGCTTAGTCCTTGTTTCCTGTTTAAGATTGGGCTTTCAGTTTTTTTCTAAAGACATTTCCTTCTCTTTTGGTGGCCCTTTGGGTCTTGGGGTCGTAACTCTTATTCTGTAACCCTCTACTTCTACCTTGAGTAGTTCTTGGGCCTTGCACATTGTAGCATCCTGCTACCATTTTCTTATCAATGTTGAATTTTGTACATTTTTGTGCAAAAAGTGGATCAGAGAGCCTACTCAGCTTAGTAAATATTTTCAGGAAATATCAGCTTCTAATTGGTCAATAAACACACAAGTGGGCGTTGCAATCCACCAACGTACAAATATTTTTCCAGCACGTGACCAAGTCAAGTTTTCCCGCCATTTTCTGTGAGCCTGTCATGTGATTACATTAATTATAAATAGCAGACACAAGCTTGCTGCTTTCTCTTTTCTTCTCTTCCCTTTTCCTGCAAAGATGTGACCTTAAGGATTCTTGTCTAGACCATGGGTGGACAGACGTTAAAAGCATATTCACGCATGCATGTATGTACGAAATTTTCCAAACTACATTACAACATACAAAACATTTCCAAACAAGCAACAAGAACTTTTCTCTTTGAAATATTCTTCTAAAGCTACAGTTTATTCAGCATTTCTCAGCTTTGTAATTAATTCAACTTTTGTGAGCTGAGATAAAAAATATTCACAGTCTAAGGGACATAACACCAACAGAACTTTAACTTCTACGCATTTGTAGTGGATCTAAGAAGGATGCATGAATATTTAAGATTGTGCTGCAAATAAAATATGCAATATCCACAAACATAAATTATAAGAAATGGCCATATGGCAACGATATTCAATCACGACAAAAAATGTTTGAAACAACAGATTAAATGTTATATACACAATTTACAATTTCTTTGTTTGTAATGATGTGTGCAAAACTATATAGAAAAGTTCTTTGATGTTTCGGAAATGTTCAATGTCTAAAAAGTTGTCTGCCTTTGATTGAAAGGTTGAATTTAACTTACACAAAAGATTTTTCTATGAAAGATATGAAGTAAAAAAGTTTGTTGTATGAATTTTTCTAATTTCTCATAAAGAAAGTTTGTTTCTTTAGCAGCAATTTTGACACATAATTCCTGTGTGTATCTTTGTATGTGTGAGTCTCAAAATGCGATGAAAATTTGTTTGCTGTTTCTATTTATAGTTTTTTTAACAACAAAATCGGCTCCTGTGGCTTGGTAGCTTGTTGCATATTTTTCTGAGAAATGCGTGGGCAAATGTTGAATTTTTTATTTTTTTGCCAATAGAAATTCTTGAAATATTTAAATTAGGGATGAATTTGAGAAAAAATTTTTTTTATGTCAGTTGAGCCTATTTTTGCACAAATTTTGTTATGGAAATTTCTCAAAGCTTATTTTTATTTAACAACCAATGAAATTCAAGAAAATGTTTGAAAATTGAAATGAGGGTTACTAAACATGTACATCAATACACAAAATAAATACAAATGTTATTGTTTTAAAACCATTTTGTTCCTTCTTGTATTTCATGTTTTGTGGTATTTTATGTTAAACATAAATTGTGTGGTCATGTTATTCACGCAGCCATAAACAGACATATATAATGGTCTATTATTACCATACATTACATATAGTGACCCCTGATAAAATATGATTCTGGGATAATCATTTTGCTTTGCATTTTTGTTTTGTTTTTCATGAAAATAAAAAAATAGAATTCAAATTTACCCATCCAGAATTGTTTATCTTTTAATTGGTTTTAAGAAAAGTCCTGAAACTTTATTTTGAAGATAAATTTCATATTCTGAAAAATATTTTTTTATATATCATTAATAACTCATTTAAAATGTTGTGGAATTGCTTAATTATTGCTAAGAGATTTTTGTAAATTGTTCAAAGTAAGCTGGTGTGATGAAATAAGTAATATAATCATCTTTGATGAAATAATAAACTTCACAGATTTGATATGAATTTATTTGTGTCTAAGGTTGAAAGAAAATTCATGAGTAACACTGATGCTCACTTTGAGAATAACTAACAATGGATCTTATTGTTTGTAACCAATTCACATAAACAACCGCTGTTGGAACTTGCTAAAAAAGAAAATAAGTATTAAAGTATATTAATATCTGTGTATAATGGGACTAAATGTGTAAAAGGATTTTTCGCAACAGAAGGCTCAGATTTGTGATTCTATATTTTTCAAAATTATAAAAAAGTTAATGATGAGTGACAGTTGTCAATATGTTCATAAAAATCTAGACTAGACTATTTAAAAATATTAAGAAAGAACAAAATCTCTTTTGCTGTAAAAAATTGTACATAGAGATCATAATTCTTCAAAATATTTTTTAATGTTTTTTTTTTTTTAAGTATTTTTAAACTTTGGAAATTGGTTCAAAGATTAAATTACTTCTATTTGCTAATCATTTTGATTTCTTCTTTTTCAATTTACCTTTTAAACATAACATTTGAAATGAATGCAACAACGATTTAATTAGCAAAATACAAACAAAAAGAGATTAGAAATTACAATACATACAAGAACTGTTCTACTAGTAGTGTATGAAAAAAAAACTGTTTTATAAGAAGATGCGAGCATTGATTGTGTTGAATCAGAAAAACTTGCTGTTGTTAGAGTAGTTGTATTTTTTCTTTCGATATTGTGGGTTTAGGTGAATTATTTTGAGTAGACAAAATTAAAATTTCGAAGACGTTTTTTTTTTTTAAGAATGTTCATGTTAATAATTTCAAATGACTGTGCCATGTGTAGAACGTATCTACTAGCAACGGTTGAATAAACAAAAACAGGGTACTTGAAAAAAAAAAACAAAGAAGCACTCGCACTAAATGTTATTCAGCAAGAAGATCTTATTTCTCAAATTTTTATATGGAATATGGTTGTTAAAGATGATTTTCTCTTGTTAATCAACATCGATTTAACAATTTTTCCCCACCTCAGATGCTGTTGCGGGTTTCGGTAAAAAAAAAAAAAGTCTGTGTAAAACTATAAATTAACAAAACAATGTATTGATTGTAATTTTCAAATTTATTCATTAGGCTTTCTTTCCGCTTTATGGTTTAAAAAGATAAGACAAGAATTTAAAATTTTGAAGTTTCTGTTTTATAGAATGGATAAATAAATAAAAATCGACAGCTTTTAATTCTTTTAAAGAAACTGAAATTATTTTGATTTCCAGTTTAAATAAAGTTGAAAAAAACGGGCAACGAATTGTTTTGAACTGATGTCATTCCAAACTTACCGAAAATTATTTTATTTAATAATTATATTCATGTTTAAAAAGAAACTTAGAAAATACTCAAAAAAAAGTTAAAAAGAAATAGCGTAAAAAAAACGAAAAAACAAACACATTTTTCCTGTGTCTGGCTTGTGTTCGTAAGTTGCTAAAATAAAGTGTTTAGTTTAGTTGATTAGATTCAAGAAAATGCGAATAAATAATAATCCAATGTAAATCAGATTTATTGTAAAATGTAAAGCAAAAAGATGTTACGAAACATAAAATCAACCTTCTTTCTTGTGTCACATTCTAAATGAAGTGGGTATTATTCTGAAAGGGTGACACGACCTACACAAGTGAAACTTTTACTTACAGCTTTTAGTAGTCTCTCTCTAGTTGCTCTAAAAACTACCGTATAAAAAGGTTTGGAAAATAGAGTAAAACTCAAAAACAGTTGCTAATTGTTTGTTTTTTTTTTTTACTCTTTTTTTCTTAGTTATTCCTTTCAAAGTTAATAACAAGAAGCGATTAATTCTAATGTGGGAAAAATAGTTTATTTTTCTTTTTACACAATCACAATGAATTTAAATGTCAGACGAAATCATAAAAATAAAATTTATATATGAAATCAAACCAAAATAAGAACAAATTATTCACTTACTTGTTTATTTACTTACTTGTTTTCTCAATTGATAATCAGATCATTTTGTATTCCTTCTTATGAAGGGAGCGGTCAGTCAAAAAAAAAAATTTGACAATTTGATTTCAACTTATTTTACTTCCGTGTTTGCTATTTGAATCACGTGTCAGTTAATATCAAATAATTATCTTTTTTTCGTTTTTTAATTAATTTTAATTCCTTTTTTAAATATCAAATAGATTTTTCCAGAATATATTATTCATTGTTTTTAGATTTTATTTTAAAAACTATATAACTGTGATCTCTTAATTCTTATCACTTTTCATTTTGTAAAAAAGAAACTAAAAAAAAAAAAACATTAAAAATACTATCGGCGAAAGAAATTTAATTACAATGATTTTTGTGGATTACTTAATCGGCTATCTTCAGAAAAGAGGGCTGAGGCCTCTCCAAAATGTCTGATTTTAAGGGAAGGGCAATAATCATCCAGACTATCAGTAGTACAGTGTTTCTGTTGGCATGGTGTTTTTAGTTTACTGTTGACACTGGATTTGGAATTCACTATGCAAAAAATAGCTAAAAAAAACTAATAGGCACTACTGACTAAACTACCTCAGTCTATTTTTGCACAAGTTACGAATCTATTTTTAATTTTTCTAACATAATGGATGCTTTAACAGTTAACTTTTTCCAACTATACGCGTTTAAGGGGTGGGAAGTAGAAATATACGAAATATCCTTCTGTAAGTCAAAGTGTAAATGTACTGTGCCCTTTTAGGACGTGGACGATCAAAACTCTCCACAACTTCCTACTACTCACAATATTTGTCTCCTATCTGCCATCCGTTTTTACACATAAATTACTTGCTGTTTCCTTCCGTCTTTATTGCTTTCAGTGTGCCCTGTGAATCTCTAATTCTCCAAGCTCACCTTCCTCATTATGTGTCCTAAAAAGTTTAACAGATTCTAAGTATGTATTCTTTTTTCTTCCATTTTCTTTCAAACTTCCTCATTGCTTTCATACTCCATCCATAGTATTCTCAGCATTCTTCTGTAGAATCACCTTTTATATTGCCTTGATCTCCTCTCCAGCTGGGAAGAAATGGTCAATTATTCACTGCTATATAGGAGGGTTTATATTTACATTATAGTTCAGAACTCTTTGTTTTTAATGATATTTTCCTATTTCTTAATGATTACCATAATGATTATCTTTCATTACCTTGATGCTACCTGCCTCACTTTTTAGGTCTTAAGCATAAGACACAATTCCTTATATTTGTAGAGGTTGCTATGTTTTTCCACGCCCACATTTTATTCGCCTGCGGTTGGCTAATAAATCACTACTACCTTTATATAGGACAATTTAGCCACCACAGTCATTTCTTTGAATCCTTCGGTTTTGAGCTTGCTTGCCTGTTCTGTTAGTACGAGTGTAGTGATTGGTTAATTTTTAACCAATCACATATTTTAATGCAAGATTAAATTTTCCCGCGTTTCCGTGGGAGCCTACTCTTTTTTCTTAAAAGGGGTGACTTTTCACAAGTCGTCAGTAAGATCCCGTAAGATTCCATCCGTCAGCACAAATCCACGATCTTACTCATCACATTTCAAACGCACACACAGACACGGATTTTCGTAGTATAAACTTACATTTCTCTCTGTGACGTTGCCAAGTTCAATCAACCAGAACTCTGTTGATTCAATCAATTCTATAACACAACACATTTTTAATTAATTATATTCTTGTGTTATTTATTCTTAACATGCATACTTGCTCTAATATTGATTTCTGGACATTTTTTCTCAAGAGAACTTTCTTCGAACAATCAATAACGAATCAATCTACAGTAAAAGGGGATCAACTTATTTCCCTTAATCTATACATTGAAAACAATTTTATTGCATGTTTGTTCTTGTATGTTATTTCAATATATATTTGTTGATTAACAATTGGGAGTTATTGTTGTTTACTTGAATCCTGCGCATTGGAAATATCGTCAATATAAACGTAGTACCACCACAACTGAATCCCGCATGTGGTGGCCATTACATATTAATAAGCGTATTTTAGATGCAGAGACTGTTACATTAATGTCTAACGTATACTTCCTTTGCATTACAATTTAATGTATGCTCCCTAATCAACGTTAAGGAACATAATTCTCGCTCACTGATATGTCCCTTTTTTCCATAACCCCTTTCTCATTCTCTTTTTTTCTGATACCTAATAAACGCTGGTCACTAATATAACATGGTAGCAATGAGGAAGTAACTCCTACTTTACAACCCTGTAAATGAGGACCGACACCAACAAAAAGGCAGTCTTATGTAAGCTGTTTCAATGGTGTCTGGCATTTGGAGTGACACAGAAAAAAAAGTAACCACATGCGGGAAAATGGCGGAAGGATTCCAGTCAAATATATCACGACCAAGCAAGCTGGACGCTAAGACTAATGCTTTAGAAGGATGGAAGCTCCGGAAACAGATGTGGAATAACTACAGCGTCGTGACCAAACCGTGCAAGCAAAATAAACAATACCAAACAGTACTTTTTCTTCATACTATCAGACCAGACGCATTGATAGTTTACACTGGTTTTCACTACATTTCAATAGAAAACAAAGATGACTTGGACACAGTAATAGCCAAATTTGACCAACATTTTATCGGACAAACCAACGAGACTTATGAACGATATGTCTTTAACAAAAGAGACCAGGAATATGATGAGAACACAATCTAACCACACTTTGTAACTGAGCGAAGTCTTGCAATGTTTGTGAATGTTTATTTATTTGATTCTTTGCTATACAACTACATAGTGCTGCGTGTAAAAGTCAACCAGGCATGTAAAAAAATGCTACAGCTTTTAACACTGAATCTCAAACAGTATACTGACATATGCTAAATTTGTGAAACTACGACTACACAGTTGAAAGCTGAACATGACAGAGGAAATAAACAGAGTCTGTAGTGGAAAACATGGACCTGTGATATTTTTAGTAAAAAATGTGCCCACTAACAATTTAAAAGTAAAGAAAACACAATGATATGATAAGTCAAATGTAAGGACAACACAAGACGAGAAATCCAAAAATAAAATAAGCCAAAATTTATTCTTGGCAAATGTAATGCGAAACAAGAAAAGAAATGCAATTGTTAAAGTTGAATAGAGTCCCAAAAGAAACAAATATAGCAGATTAGGAACTCAAAAATCTAGTAATGAACAAAGTCCAAAGTTAATTAGATAGTTTATATAATTTGTTGCTGATGAGAAGACCACCATATAGGTGATTATATACAAAGTCAGTGAAGTGTACACAGAAGAAATTTGATAGGATGATGTGTATATTACTAACTGGAAGATTTGATTCTCACAAAGTAAAAAGCAGAAATTTTGACAAGCGCTACAAAAATGAATAATGCTGAATCAGTGGAGAATATGTTCATTAGAAACGGAACCGTCCATGTTTAAAAGATAAGTAGATTCAACCAGATGACATGTACAGTTATCATGAACAAATGATGTTCAAGGACGATAAACTAAGTTAGTAAATATGTGCAGATGAAGTCTAGACATGTCAATGTTCAAGGTCGATAAACTGAGTCAATGCACATGCGCAAGAGTTTAGAACATTCTATGTTTGAAAAAGGTAAACTGGTCAGCAAATCACATAGGAAATATCTGGAACAATCGATTTTTTTGAAGAAAGGTGAGCAGTGGGCAATATGTCCAACAGTGATGATTGTTGGACGTAAAAATGTCATAGTGTATGGGTGAGGATTGGTACATGACCAGCAAAGTTACTCTGGGAGTAAGATGCCAAAGATCTCCGGAGAAGATTGGTATTGTGACAAGAAATGACTGCTATGTGTAGTAGATGCCAGGAACAGTTGGTTAATTGTGTGCAGAAGATATCTAAGTCATGGTTGAGTGCAGAAAATCCCAGAACAATTGGTCTCTCACAGTGGTGCAAGGACTGTGAACAAACACTGAAGATGCTGGAATTAGATGTCATGGCTGTGAGTGTAGGTACCACTGAGAAACGCTGGAGTCATTGGAACTAAAAGTAGAGTGCTGAGAGTGCAGAATACTGTTGAGAAGCGCTGAAGATGCCAGAATAAAAGGTCATGCGCTGGAGTGTAGGTACTATTGAGAAGCACTGTAGTTGTACTGGCCCATGCAGTCAGAAGAAGACGAATTTGCCCATAAAAGGACAAATGATAATCGCATACCATGTAATCAGGGGAAAGGCAGTGTCTTACTCCTGAAAAGTATTCTCAAAGAACAGGTTAGCATGTCCACTACAACAATAGATCACACCTGTAACCAGGCAGTCTGCAGGCTGCACATGGGTTCAGCTAATACAGCAGGACCACACAGCAAAATGTGAGACATACTGATTAGAGATGACCTACTGCTAAAGTAAGTGAATCACATGGTAACCTGGTGAAAAACAATAGAAACCTTAAAGATTCCTACTAAAGATATGGGAAGATGGCATCATACTGTTTTGAAGAACAGGGTCACTAAACAACCCAAATCTTTCCTCTATCTAAAAGTGCATCAACCGCATAAGCAGGGTCACTGTATAGCATAAAGAGAGAACCTATCCTCTAAGGAGGCGATCTTTTGGGTCTGCTGATTTTATGGTATTAAGGGTGTTACAATGTATGACTGATTTCGTAACTTCTAGTCATAATAAAAAATATATCAAATAACTCAAGATTATAAACTGTACTATGAAAAGAACAGGGTAGTATTTATATTATGTAACCATAATCAGATATCTTAAAAAATGTTTTAGTGAATTATAAAATTTAAATAACTGTTTAAAGTCGTACAGAAAAGGGATGCTACAACAAGAGCAAGGTCACGAGAAATAGATCATCAGATATTATCAAAATGAACAGAGTAGTGGAACACTATGATAAGTGCAAAAACAAAGTTACCGACAGAATTATAGTAAACAGGGAGAAATCGACTGTAATTTCTGTGGCAAGACACACGAAAAACGGAAAGAATCATGTCCCGCGTAGAGCCAATAATGTTAATTTTGGAACAGTAGAAACCATTTTGTACTGAAATGTCCGAGGAAGCATTCTATGGGAAAAACAAAGGTTAAGACTAAGCATAAAATTAACCGTGTTTTTTTTCAAATTCTTCCGGTCACACCGAATGTGGTTATGTGGTATGTGTAAACTCGGAGAGAGAGGAGCCAGATAAGATTATCTATGTAAATCCATGCTAGTAAAAAAGGAAGATACCATTCCAAGTGGACTGTGTAGCTACCATCAATGTAATCCCGCAGAAATATTGTAATCTGCATAATCTGCAACCGTCTATCTTGAAACTCAAAATGTGGAATGGAACGGAACTAACGTTCATTGGGAAATTTCGAACTGTACTGCGAAACGCCCAAAATATGAAAAAATATTCAGTAGAATTCATTGTAGTCAAGGAGAGTTTGACTCTTTTGTTAGGAAGCAACTATTAACGGACTATGCAGATGTTTTCAACAGCAAACTAAGATCATTACCAGAGCAGGTGTGTCTACAAGTTGATGAAATTGTCACATTGCATATTGCTGCAACACGGCGCATGCCAGTGTCCATGATTCCTGAAGTTAAAATGAGACACTAATGCCACACACCATACCTGATCATCCGTGGCAGAAGGTTGGTTTTGACCTTTTTGAATTTGACACTGTTGAGTACCTTGTAAATGTCGACACTTCTCTCAGGAGGAATTTGCTAAACCTTAAGAAAACAAGCCTTGAACCAAATAACAAGACTCTACTGGAACACATACAGAAGGTTCAGACTAAATACTGTGATCGTCATACACCTGATTTACCTGTGCTGAGTGAAGGTGATGTTGCATAAATGCATCCGTATAAGAAAGGTGATTGTGTGTGAGAGAAAGGCGTTATAAATCACTGATTGGATGACCGTTCATACAAAGTCAGCAAGTGGAACCTATCAGCAAAACAGATGTCGTTTGCACAAATCTTCTGAATCAGTAGAGCATACAAGAAATGGTCAGCCACCAGCAACCTTATAGACATGGCAAAAACACAAAGAGCCCCTGCACCTTTATCAGTACCCTCATCAGCTTCAGCTGTTGTGAGCAAAGGCACTAATACTACGGTACCAGAAAAATACAAATCTGTTGGGCTTCACACATGTGCTGGATGAGGAATATGACAGCCAGCATATCTGAAGGACTTTGTAAAACTAGTTAAGTGAGACCGTAGTCTTTACTACAAAAGACTAAGGGTGTTACATTATTGTTTAGTGTATGCTCCCAAATCGACGTTAAGGAATATAATTCTTGATTACACATACGTACCTTTTCTCCCTAACCCCTTTCTCACCTTTTTCTTCTGGTACCAATAAACGCAGTTTACATTTCATGTCGGCTCTCTTAACAAACCCAAGCCTGTCCGGTTTTCCATGACTTAATGTAACAGAAACCTGCATGTGTTGAAGAGAAGTTTATTTCCGCTTTCTTTATTTTTAAATATTATTAACAGGAACAAATTGACAGGTAAATGAAAATTAAAGAAGAAAAAGGTCTGTTGTAGTTTTTTTTAAACCCCAAGCAAAAGAAAAATGATACTAAGATATAAGCGGAGAGGAAGAGAATGATAAAACTTTAGTAAGGAGAAAGGACAATAAAAGAACAAGTTTCAAGATACATTGTTACTAGTTAAGAACTCTGGGACAGCAAACAAAAATTTAAAACAGATAATTTTGAATATATTTATCAAAAACAAACATGCAACTGGACCAGGTTTCCTTCAGTAATATGATATAAACTCACCCTCTTAAATTATAATTCTATATGGCCATAGTAATTTCTGAAAGTTTTCCATGAACAATAATCATTCTGTAACTTCTTCCATTCAACAAATGGACATTCCTGCTATGCTGACCTATCAACCTCTGAATAGCTCAAAATATTTTACAACACTGTGAATCTTGCTGATTACCTTACATTCTCTACCAAGGACTTCTACTACTAAGTTCTAACTTTCTTATGAACATGTTCCTCTACCTAGCTTCATTTCTTTATGTGTTCAAAACAAATATTTTGAACAACCCTCAACACTTACCTTTTTTATTGTAAATAAATATTTTTTCTGTTTCAATTTTGCACTGAAATTGTGTGCTTAAAAATGTTTTAACAGATATTTTTTTTTTGTAGATGAGAAATTCCCAATACAGGTTCATATATTTTTCACTTAATCATAAATTGCATTTTATTGACTCTTGCATTGACATGGTCCAAATTATTAATTGAAATTTGGTTTCTTTCTTGAAGTTTACTTTTCATTTGTACTCGTGATTCTTAGACATTTTTGGACTGCCACTCCTTTGGTTCCCAGGCCACATCTTGTGTTCACTTCCCACATACAACAAATTAATATCTGTTTGTTGCTATTAAGTCTTTTACAAATTTAAAACAACTAATCTCACTTGTAAAGTACATTGTCTTCACAGTTTTAATTGGAAGGATTTACTTGCTACAGGGATATCAGCTTTCCAACATAATAATGCACACTTTTTTCTTACCGCCCACCTTGAATATTTATTCCACTACCCCTAAGGGTACAATAAGATTAAGTTTTGAAAAATTGATTTAGACCATCTTGACTGGTATTATTTTTCAATGTTTTAACAAAAATTTTATGCATGTAATATACAGGGGCAGGTTCTTCACACCAAAACAAGGACAAAAGTCCACATAAACATCTGTACACATCCTTCATTTCTTAGTTATTAAGTTTAAAGAAAGTTTACGGCAGATAGCACAGTATTGCTATGTAGACTAAGTTACATTTGTCACTCATGTACATTTGTGGCTAGTCTTGTCTTTAACGTTTAACTTGTGTAGTAGTGAGTTAACTGAGAAGTGTTCTGCTTAACAATGGCAGGATAGAGATGATTTTTACATATGGCCATGCAAATGGTAATGGACGCGAGGCTGGACAGTTGTATCGGGTTGTGTTTCCAGCTGAGTCATCCAAATTTTGCTGCTGAGAGAGGATCTGTGGTATCACAAACTATGGATCAAGGAAGACCAAAATCTGCGTGTACACCTGACCATTGTACAGGTTGTCAGAGACGATCCAAGTATCAGTACATATCAAGTGGCCCTGGCATGTTGCACATTTCATAGCACCACATGGAGGGTACTTGCACAAACTGCTGATCCATTGTTTGTCTCTTCAATTCTGTTTACAGATGAAGTAACATTTGGATGAGATGGAATAACAAATTTACACAACCAATATTTGTGGGCGGATTGGTATCCCCATAGTACAGTACAGGCTAGACTCTATCATCAGTTTATGATTAATGTGTGGGCTGGAATTGTAGGTGATTGCCTGGTCTCCCAGCATGTTTACAGGAGCTTTATTTTGAACACACTTCCAGATCTGGTAGAGGAGGTACCTCTCCTAATATGAAGACACATGGTTCATGAATGATGGGGGGCTTGTAGGCATTCTGAAAGCAAAGGAAATATTTGTCGCAGATTACTTCCACAACGCAAAGAACAAATCACTGTAAGTTCAGACTCGAATGTTGGGGGCAGAAAGAAATGCCGAAAACTCGATTCGCAAGCACTATCTCACAAATCCCAATGCACGTAACCAGTCAGAAAAATAACTCACTCGCCGACGAATGCGGTAGCCAAAATATACCAATTTTCCCTCTCCGATTCGAGAACACCAACTGCTTTTATCGGCCAAGCATTTTTCCATTCGCCGACAACTGGGATAGACGCCCAATTTTTGCATATCAAAAATATTTTTACAGCGACTCCTGCGACGGACTTGTTTTTAATTTACATATTCCATCTTCAGCATGTCGTGCGGAATACGTGCCCCTTTTTTTTGGTAAGTAATTTTCTTTTTTGCCACATTTTCCGTCGTAGGATACACGCGACGCGCTGTCGCTTGGTTTGACGAGGTAAGTCGCCTTTTTTCTTCGCTATAGGGATCCAGCATATTTTAGTCACATTGTTCTGACATCTATCAGGAAAATGGATAGGCAGGGGAGAACCGGTTCCATGGCCTGTACATTCTTCCAGCCTCAATCCTTTCGATTTTTATCTGTGGGGATGCCTAAAACAATTGGTTTATCCAGCAGACATTAGCAATACAGAGACACTTCATCAACATGTTATGAGGGGCTGCAAAACCATTCAACTGTGTGAGAGTATTTTAAAAGGTCCACCAGTCAATGATCCAATGGGTGCATGCATGTGTAGAAGCAAGTGGATGACATTTTGAACATTTGTTATGAGTTGCTGTGTTGAGGTACAATGATGGTCTTTTGGACATATGTTTATATGGACAGTTTATCTGGTTTTGGTGTCAGGAACCCAGCCCCAAAGTTTGTAAAAATATTTTTGGATTGTATCTTGGATTGTACATTTAATAGCATCTGTCATAAACTTTAAATTGAATAACTCAAAAATGAAGGATTTGTGAACATATGCTTGTATGGACTTTTGTCCTTGTTTTGGTGTGAGGAGTCCACCCCCAGAGTTTGTAAATGTATTTTTGATACACTCTGTATAATGGGAAAAGCCAGAGGAAATTCGATTTATATACCAGTCTATATGCTTGTCTTATTCCTCTCATTAGACTGTGTTTTACAGTAAGGTTCACTCTTTACAAGGCCCGGAGGGCTACTTAGGGTCGAAGGTTAAAAGTCAATTTGTGTGTATAGGAGTGGAAGATAATGGTTAACCCTAGTCTTGAACAGGTTGAGATTGTAGTGATCAGGGAAACATCCTTTTAGGAATCGATTCTTATTGATTATCGCCTCAAAAACTTACTTTGAAGACTGATGGGTCTGTACTGGGAGGAGGAAGATTGCATGCCTGCATTCTTGAAAACTAGGCGTATACTTGACACCTTCCACAGGCTTGGCAAGGATTTCTTCTTCGAGCAGAAGCTGAATATAGTTTAAACATAAAAAGATCAGAGGATTAAATAAAAAAAAGAAAATTTGTTAAAAATTGTGATCTATGAATTATAATTATTCTTAGATTAAATTTAATTTATACTTGTTTTCTGTTTCATCTTGTTCTGTGTGATAACAGCATTGTTTGAAAATTAGGTTGATGCAATAACTAAAATGTTTTATTAGAACAATAAAAGCCAACATATTAAAAAAAGGACATTCATAAAAAAAACAAAAACGAAACAATACATAACAAAAAAAAAAGAAGTGTAACAAAACATATATATTACAGTAAATTGGTAATACAAAAATATAACAATTAAAAACAGCTAAACCAGTTAATCAGAGCAAAAATCATGGACAAACAATGTGAACAGCAACTAAAAAATATACAACTTTTTGTATCCCTGTGAAAATATTTTGTAGTTTTTGTAGTAGAACCAACATTGTCAACGTATTTCAATATGACTCAATAAAATTAGGGTTATTGTACATCCTGGTTTGATTAGGATTACTCAAGTTATTGATATAAATGTGTGTGTGTGTGTGTGTGTGAGAGAGAGAGAGAGAGAGAGAGAGATTAAGTAATGTTAAGTCATGAAAATACTTTATTATGCAAGAAAATTAAACTTATC